CTGCTCCAGAAACACACAAGCGTTAATCAACCACTAACACCAGCTGACAGACATCACACTCTACCCCTAACACCAGCTGACAGACATCACACTCTACCCCTAACACCACCTGACAGACATCACACTCTACCCCTAACACCACCTGACAGACATCACACTCTACCCCTAACACCACTGACAGACATCACACTCTACCCCTAACACCACTGACAGACATCACACTCTACCCCTAACACCACTGACAGACATCACACTCTACCCCTAACACCACTGACAGACATCACACTCTACCCCTAACACCACTGACAGACATCACACTCTACCTCTAACACCACTGACAGACATCACACTCTACCACTAACACCACCTGACAGACATCACACTCTACCACTAACACCACCTGACAGACATCACACTCTACCCCTAACACCACCTGACAGACATCACACTCTACCCCTAACACCACTGACAGACATCACACTCTACCCCTAACACCACTGACAGACATCACACTCTACCCCTAACACCACTGACAGACATCACACTCTACCTCTAACACCACTGACAGACATCACACTCTACCACTAACACCACCTGACAGACATCACACTCTACCACTAACACCACCTGACAGACATCACACTCTACCCCTAACACCACTGACAGACATCACACTCTACCCCTAACTCCACTGACAGACATCACACTCTACCTCTAACACCACCTGACAGACATCACACTCTACCTCTAACACCACCTGACAGACATCACACTCTACCCCTAACACCACCTGACAGACATCACACTCTACCCCTAACACCACTGACAGACATCACACTCTACCCCTAACACCACTTACAGACATCACACTCTACCCCTAACACCACTGACAGACATCACACTCTACCTCTAACACCACCTGCCAGACATCACACTCTACCCCTAACACCACCTGACAGACATCACACTCTACCCCTAACACCACTGACAGACATCACACTCTACCCCTAACACCACTGACAGACATCACACTCTACCCCTAACACCACCTGACAGACACCACACTCTACCCCTAACACCACTGACAGACATCACACTCTACCCCTAACACCACTGACAGACATCACACTCTACCCCTAACACCACTGACAGACATCACACTCTACCCCTAACACCAGCTGACAGACATCACACTCTACCCCTAACACCACCTGCCGACATCACACTCTACCCCTAACACCACCTGACAGACATCACACTCTACCCCTAACACCACTGACAGACATCACACTCTACCCCTAACACCAGCTGACAGACATCACACTCTACCCCTAACACCACCTGCCGACATCACACTCTACCCCTAACACCACCTGACAGACATCACACTCTACCCCTAACACCACTGACAGACATCACACTCTACCTCTAACACCACTGACAGACATCACACTCTACCTCTAACACCACCTGACAGACATCACACTCTACCCCTAACACCAGCTGACAGACATCACACTCTACCTCTAACACCACCTGACAGACATCACACTCTACCTCTAACACCACTGACAGACATCACACTCTACCTCTAACACCACCTGACAGACATCACACTCTACCTCTAACACCACTGACAGACATCACACTCTACCTCTAACACCACCTGACAGACATCACACTCTACCTCTAACACCACTGACAGACATCACACTCTACCTCTAACACCACCTGACAGACATCACACTCTACCCCTAACACCACCTGACAGACATCACACTCTACCCCTAACACCAGCTGACAGACATCACACTCTACCCCTAACACCAGCTGACAGACATCACACTCTACCCCTAACACCACCTGACAGACATCACACTCTACCCCTAACACCACTGACAAATATATACAACTGTACCACGTCCCAATGATACACAAACTACCATACTAAAGTTGCCTGAAACGCTACGGGTGATAGTGACTTTACAAGAATGTAAAATCAACTTAATTTCTATGTTCCCTGTTAACCCCCAATGTACCTTCTTGTATATAAATAAAATAAATAAATAAAATCAATAAAATATGAAAGACTTTTCTACAGAAACTTAAAAACAAAACAAGAAACTATCGTAGTCAAAGATATATCCAGTGAACGAGTCCAGTTATTCCTTACTAGTAACAAAATATAATTACCTACATTTTTGTAGCGCTTGATTTTATATCATCTCTTTATTAAATACAACAGAGTAATAAGCAAAATAAAAAAATATATCAATTAAGTAATTTTGACGAGGAAAATCAGACAGTGAGTTATTATGACGTGTGGTTGAAGATCAGAAACCCAACCCACACGTCTGAAGACAGAGGAAGTGACGACTTTGCCCTCCGTCTTGGACCATTGTAAAGTACACGTCCTGGTTGTGTAAAGTACACGTCCTGGTCGTGTAAAGTACACGTCCTGGTCGTGTAAAGTACACGTCCTGGTCGTGTAAAGTACACGTCCTGGTCGTGTAAAGTACACGTCCTGGTCGTGTAAAGTACACGTCCTGGTCGTGTAAAGTACACGTCCTGGTCGTGTAAAGAAAGAGTGTTGGAGAGAATCAATATATAAAGTAAGAAAGTGAGGCAAAAGGCAACAAGGTAAGAAGTATGACATGGGGGTTAATAGGCATAAAGAAAACAGCAGTAGGCCTAATGACGAAGAGAAAAAGGTGAAATAGTAACAAAAGAAATAACAACATAGGAGAAGATAAAAAAAGAGAAAGAGAAGATAGAAGATAGGAGATAGAAGACAGGAAAAGATAGAAGGCAAAGAACACACGTCGTGACCCCTTAAGTGATTAAGATTTTTGGATATCTTGTAAGGTGGGTTTATAGTCGAGGAAAATGATATGTGACACGAAATACCTAAGAGTAGTCAATGAGGGTGTCGGAAATTTCCGACACCCAAATACTAACCCTTGACACAATAAGGTAAATACGTTGTGTCAAGACACTAATTTTACTAACCATACTAATAGTCCAGTAATTATAAGTTCTAGAACATGCAAAGAGATGATTGCGTCAGCCGTCACATGTTCGCGGTGACTATTCTTTTGCCTAACACTTGATAAAACTCTGTCTGCAATCTGCTTTAATTTGCGGTTGACACCTTAGATTGAGTTTAATCAGTACGCAGATAGAATTCATTGATTTTCTCTTTATAGAAAAGTTTAAAACCGCCGTGAATAAGTGCTTCATGGAGGAAGAGGAACGATCATACTGGGAATTCCATCTCAAGATAACACTCCCAAAATTACTTAATTCTTCCCGGTTAGACATCAGAAACATTCCAAAACTGTTCATGGTAATTGAGGATAATAAAATCACTCATAAATTAGCACCTACTTCTTTTCATTCGTAAATTTGCACCGCAATAGGTGCCGTGACTAACAGGTGTGAGGGAGGAGGCGGGACGCCGGGCCACGGGGGAGTCGGTCAGCACCTGGGGCGAGAGACACCCGGATGTGCCACCGCGTTCTCGATTTGGACACCATATTTGTGCTTATAAAACAGGGAAGTGTGCCTCTCGGAGGTGCAAGTTGAGCAGCAGAGATCGTATTAACCACGCATTGGACTGCCGCACTCTCCAAGCACGAGAGAACGTGTCCCGGTTGTAGAAAATTATATCTGGTTGGTATCAACATGGTTGAAAGAGGATACTACTCAACTCTTTAACATGCCTAACTACTCAGCAATTCACAACTGTCGTCAACTTCAGAGAGGTGGTGGCACTGCTCTTTACTACCACCAAGAACTAACATGCTTAAAAGAAATTAGAACAGAGACTGCTATGGGGAGTATATCTTCGCCAGCTTCAGAGTCAAGGGTGCCGAGTCTGTCCTGTCTGTGGGTGCAGTTTATAGAATTCCTAACACTGATGTGTCCGAATTCAACTCAAACCTTAGAAATCTAATACTTGATAACAGACTGAACAAAAACCACTTAATTATCACAGGGGACTTTAATATTGACCTCTGCGAGCCAGAACACCCTACTGCTGTTAGCTTCCTCAACTGTATGAACTCCTGCTTCCTCATACCCTTAATCACTAGACCTACTAGAATCACTGATAGCACTGCCACAACTCTAGATCACATCTGGACAAACATAACCTCTCCGCTTACTTCAGGTATAATCACCGATAGCACTTCAGACCATTACCCCACATTTCTCTTAACTAACATTAGCAAACCACCTCTTGAGTCAAGAGAGATACGTTTTAGACTACACAATGAAACTGCTATAGACAATTTTATAACTGCTACTGATAATGTCAACTGGGAGTCCGAGTTAGGTAACATAGAGGACATCAACCTAGCAGTTCAATCTTTTCTTCAAAAAACTCTTAGCCTTTATAATACCTACTGTCCTATGCTTACAAAACAAGTCACAACCAAAAGGCTTAACAATCCCTGGCTTACAAAGGGAATACTTAAATCTATTAATAAAAAACATGACCTTGAGAAGAAGTATAGGTTAGGAATTGTCTCCAAAGAATTCTCAAAGAATTACTCATTATTGCTATCTAAGATAATTAGACGAGCCAAAGCTAAATACTACGAAGATAAATTTACCCAAATAAAGAGCAACATTAAACAAACTTGGAGAACAATTTCACAAATATTGGGATCAAAGAAGTCTATAAATAACAAACCGACTCTCCTGTCTAATAACGATGGTCAGCTTTCAGAGTCTGATTCTGCTATTGAGTTCAATAGGTTCTTCTCTTCCATTGGTTCATCCCTTGCTAATGATATTCCATCTTCCAGTACTGACATTAAGGACTATCTTACAGGTAACTATCCACAGTCTCTGTACCTAAAGCCTATTAATTCCACTGACGTCAATGAGACAATCCTTTCCCTTAAAACCAAGTCTGGTGCCCTTGAGGAGATACCAACTTTAATCTACAAAAAAGCCTCCAGATCTTTAGCCCCTGTTATTGCTCTGCTCTTCAA